TACTATCCAGATTCCGACCACTGACTTGTTAAACTACTTATTCATTTATTGTCTGTCTTCTGCATTAGAATTTCAGCTTCCTGAGGGGAAGGACTTTTTCTGCTTTCTTCACTGCCCTCTATGGTGTGTAGAGCATTGCATAACATGCAGTATGCATAACATGCAATATTTATATGCAACATGCAAATAAATATTTACTAAATTAATGAAAGTTTGGCCAATCTTTTAAGCTAAGGGTTGCACCTACAAGGACAACACAGAGAGTGAATAGATGAAGGGAACGGGTATGCAGCACCTTGTTGAGCGCCAGACACTGTGTCACCTTGTCTATAAGCTACTCCCATGCGAGTTTGTTAGATCTGAGTTTGGGTTTCCTTTTTGAAAACCTGAGATCTTTAGAGCTGACTGGGACTTTAGGTCTGACTTCTAATTTTAGAGATGAAATACCTATCCAGGGTCCGGTGATATTGGAGCCAACACCATTTCTGATCTGTCATAATATTTTGACATGTCACATGAAAATGTATCTGATGTTTCTAAACACACAAAATTTGTGCATATTTGTAAATGTCAAGTCAATTAATTACATTTTTCTTTTTTCATACACTATTTGGTACCAGTCTGTCAACTTTGTGAGGACTTCAGTCACTTCAAAGAGATGCTTCTAGTGATGAGATGCTAAAATAAATCTCCCAAATCATACAAATCACTTCCTTCATTTTGATTCTCCAAATGTTTTTATTTTCATGCTATTCATGCAGTGAGGCAGTTCAAATGCACAGGCATGTTTCAAAGCTCAACTGTAGGCTAATGTACGTGTTCTGAGCATGTTTAAGGTAAGCTAGGACAAGCTATGGTTCTGTAGGTTAGATGTATTGAATGCATTATGATACTTTCAACTTATGATGGCTTTATTGGATGTAACCCCACCTAAGTCAAGCCCTTGTATGTGTTCATGTTTCCCTTCCCTTTCTGGAGAAAATGGTCTTGCCAGCTAGGATCTGTAATAGAAAACTCTTGTTTCAGTCACAAGTGGCTGTTTGATAGCAGCTTCCCTCCTCATGGACTCATGAGGCCTCTTTCTTCCTTCCCACTGAATCTCAGGAATCTAGGTAAATGCCAAGCTAAAGAAGCAAGAAGTATTTAAATTCTGCTCGGCAGTTTTTGTAAGTGTTGAGAACAAATTCTTGTTGAAGAATGTGGTTTGATTTGTGAGGGTTGACTTTTACTCCTGAATTTCACCACATTTTGGTTATTTATACATTTTTAAAGCATGTAAACACCTTATGCAAAGGCAACATTTTGCAATTATCCTTCATTTATCCAGAGTGTTCTGATTCAACTATACAGCAGAGCTTCTCTGTGGCCAGGATGCTGAAAATTCCATGCTTTACTCACGCGAGCCCTTCCAATTCCTGCATGCTGCCTATTTCTTTTTTTTAAAAATATATTTGATTAACTATGCCATTACATTTGTTCTATTTCCCCCCTTCATTTCCCTCCACCTTGCACACCCCTCCCTCACAATTCCCCCCTTTAGTTTATGACCACATGTCTCAAGTTCTTTAGATTCTATATTTCCCATACTATTCTTGCCCTACTGTGCATCTGAAAGTTTGGCTATTTCTTCAACGCTTAGATTTATTGGTTCTGGGGCTCTGAGTTCTTGAGCCATGTTTTGATCTGCTCGTGCCTGTTATATAGGAGGAGCGAAGCCTTAGTTGTTTACCAGGGTGGGGCCACCCAGGTCGCTGGTTTGTGACAGTGTATGTGGGGGCGGGGTCAGAGAGGGACAATGGCGGTTCTTTCTGCCGCTTCCTGCCACTGGGGCCTATGCGGTCCATCTCACTGCTAGCTCCTTCACCGGTTTATCTCGCCGTGAATGTGTGACTGCAGTCAGCCCTCAGTGGGTCCTCCGCCTTGCGTTCTCAGTGGGTCCGCCCGCTACTCCACACCTTGGATCTGCCCCCAGCTGCAGGCGCACCTGGGTTGTGCACCTGGGTAGGTCCGGTGGATCTTTCCCGCCCGACCCCACTCTGCTGCTGGCTCTGCCCCTCTTACCGGTTTGGCTGAAGGGTTTGTTGTTGTCGGACTTCCATATAGTTCAATTTTCTGTGGTTTGGCTGCGTTTTTGTTGCTAAAACTTTGTTGTTTTTAAACTTAGTGGTGGGAGAAGGCACAGTGCTTCCATCTATGCCTCCATCTTGGTGGAAGTCCCCTCACGCTGCCTATTTCATCGTGGAGACTAGTTTGCTATGGGTTTGCAAGTTTACAAAAATATTGTTTTAACTTTGAAACAACTATACAAAAAATAATTAAAAGATCGTTCACCACCCAAATTGAACAATGTAAAGATTTCTGCCAACATAAAAAATGTTTTTAAAGATTTTATTTATTTATTTTTAGAGAGAGGGGAGGGGAGGGAGAAAGAGAAGGAGAGAAACATCCATCTGTTGCCTCTCTCATGCCCCTAGCTGGGGACCTGGCCCACAACCAAGGCAATGTGCCCTGACTGGGAATTGAACTGGTGAACTTACAGTTCTCAGGCCTGGCACTCAATGCACTGAGCCACACCAGCCACAGTGCCAACACAGAACTTGGAGCTGGTGGGAATAAAAGATAAGGCAAGATGGAGGGAAGAGTTTGGAGGCATGCACCCTAACCTGAGCAAGAAACTAAAAGAGGAGATAGAAAAAAACTCTAAACTAGACCCAGGGGCTAAAATCGATAATTGTCTGGGCCCAATAAATGTAGGGTTAGCTGCTGAATCCACAGGGAGAAAAAGCCTGAGGAAGGGTGGCCACAGTGTTTGCCATCACTTTGATTTCCACCTTTGATCCATCTACAGAAACTGCTTTACATTTGTTTATGTAAAAATACTTACGGGCCACACACACACATAAATGGAACTAGTGAAACTGAATAAACTCAAGTGGATTATGTTGACATCAATTTCCTGGTGCAGATACTGTGTTATAGTTATGTAAAATGTTACCTGTGGGAGAAACTGGGTATAGTATATGGGATCTCTCTGTATTGTTTCCTAAAACCTCATTTGAATTTAAAATTATCTCAAAGTAAGATAAAAATACTACTTATAGAAGTACATGCTTTAAGCTCTGGGCTGTCCTAGCTCTGAGGCTACAAATTTCTGAGGAGAAACAAATGTCCTGCCTTTAGAGAGGATGAAATAAAGATGAGAAAAGGCCTTGAATGAGCTTTTAAAAGTGTACTCTTTAAGCTGTTTCTTTAAATGATTGGAAAGGATTTATTGAATATAGAAATAATTATCCAAAAGTCTCCATGTCATCAAGGAAATATTATCATAAACATTTATGACATACCCTTAAGCACTAAAATTAGTGAGTAACAATCCACCCGAGTTCAGATGAGATCATAGGAATACTGTCATAAAGGTGAGGCTGTCAAGTGTTGGAATAGAACCAAGAATAGGAAAATTGACATCTCATGCCAAAAGGTTTAAAGAGGCTGGCTTCACATTGGTCTTTGTAAGTTTAGATGCATTTCTGTCTGAAGGGGAACTAAATAATCCCTTATACTTTTATGATCTTATGAAGTTTCATATATTTAAGTTATGTATGTCTGTGGTGGGAAAAGGCTTTTATTTTTATTTTTTGTTGGAATTAAGAAATATAAATGATACACTGCTGACATAGTGAAACCCATCTTCCAGGAAAGGATTTTCAATCTGCTGTACTTTGCCAGATATCTAAAAATTTTTTGACATGGACTGGAGGGGTGGGGTGAGGGTGGGTAGAAGCAGGATATTGTCTTCAGAAAAAAAGTAGTTGCAAGCTGGTTCAGGTGGCCACATAATCCATTGCTTAATCCGGGACACTTAAAAAACTGTTTAAAAATTGTTTTTGTTGAAGTTTAATCTATATGCAGAATTTTGCTTGTTTGTATGCTTCATGTAAATTGGATCATGCAGTATATACTTGTTTATGTCTTGTTTCTTGGGATTGACATTATAAGTTGATCCATATTGTTGGGTGAAGTTCTAGTTGTAAATTGTTTATTCTCTTTGCTGCATTATATTTTTCCATGGTGTGAATGAACATATCACAATTTACTTCTTCATTCTGAGCCTGGGCATTTGGGGAGTTTCACGTTTGGGCCATTACAAATAGTGCTACTAATAATATTCTAGTACACGTCTTTTGGTGAACATATTTCTTTGGATTATACACCCAGGAGTGGAATTGCTGGATTATAAAGTACTCATAAGTTTAGGTGAAGCAGATACTGCTAATTATCTAAAGTGTTTATTTTCATTTAAACTCCCAGCAGCAAAACATGAGAGTTCTGATTGCTTCACATTCTCTTCAATATTCAGTATGTTTCATGTTTAGCCATTCAGATATGTGGTAGAGATATTCTCATTTGATTTTAATTTGCACTTCTCTATTGAATAATGAAGTTTATACCTTATGTTTATTAGCCACTTGGATATATTCTTTTGTCTATTTAAATCTTTTTGTATATTTTTCTAATCCTTAGTCTGCCTTTTTCTTACCAAACCAAAACATTTATATAAAGAAACCATAATTTAGTTTTGGATGTGTGAGGTTTGAGATATTTGGGAAGAATCTATGTGGAGAGGTCAAAAAGACTCTGGATGATGTGGGTGTGCAGTTCAGAAGGAAAATCTGGGCCGGAGATGAAAGTCTAGTAGTCCCTGCCGTGGAGGTGGCAGCTCAGGGACAGAGTCCATGAGATTGCCCACAGAGAGCGCAGGAGAGAAAAGTCCAGGACTAAGCCTGAGGGGTCTCAAAGTTGGTTCACAAGTTGGAAGTGAAGGAGGTGCCAGCAAAAGAGTCTGAGAAGAAACCATGGAGAGGCAGGGAACTGGGAGTAGAAGGCAAGAGAAAAGGGTTTCATGGGGGTAGTATTCAGTGTGCCGCAGTGTTTATCTTGTGTTGATATTAAAAGAAAAGCAACAACCACACCACATTTCACCCTCTCTCTTCTCCCTCCAGCCATCACTGTATACAGACTACCATGGACCTGGAAATGCAGCAAGTTCCTGATGAAGTCCATCCATGCAGGGCTAAATGCTGTTGCAGCCATTCTTGCAATTGTTTCTCTAGTGTCTGCTTTTGACTTCCATAATACCATGAACATCCGCAATATGTACAGTATGCATAGCTGGATTGGACTGGCAGTTGTCATATTGTACATGTTACAGGTCAGTGTCTCAGCATATTTCTAAATACAATGTAAAAAGTAAAACAATTCAGATGCTATAGATGTTTTTTGTAGATACAAGGTGGTGGTGGTTGGGGGGCCCAATTTTTTAATTATAAAAAATTGTCTGTTTATTCTTACATGTTTAAACTTCATTTACCTTCAAAGTACTCTCCATTTGATGCAATACACCTATCAAGGCGTTTTTCCCACTGCTCAAAACAGTTTTTGAACTTGTTGATTTTGATGCCTTTTAGTGCTTCTGCCATTTTTTGTCTCACCTCTTCCACATTGGCCAAAATATTTCCCTTTGAGGACATTTTTCATCAGAGAAACAAAAAAAATATTTTCTCAGGGCAAGATTGGTTGAACAGGAAAGGTGGGGCACAAGGGTCAAGCCATTTTTTGGTCAAAAACTGCTGAGCACTCAGCACAGTGTGGGCAGGTGTGCTCATAAATCCCCCATCATGAAATGGGCAAACGCATTGAAAAGAGTCTCATAAAAATTTCACTGAAGCCAAACACAACCTCTCACAACAATGCCAGCTGGTACACTGATACAGATGGGTTCATAGAACACTCACTTACTGGGAGAAGCCTGCCCTACAAGGAGCCGGCCCTCCAGAAGATAATTCCAGTTTTTTTGGGGGGGGGTCTCCCCTCTTAGTTTGTTAGAGATCATGTTCTTATTCGCACTAATCCTTGTTCTACTTGTGTCCATTATAAGTAGTTTCCCATAGAGGGGCTCAGGAACTGCAGAATTCAGTGTATGAGTTGGAATGTCAGATCTAAATATGGGCATGTGTATATAGGGGAATTGCCATCCGATAGCAGTAGACGGCTATTGTTGAAACTTCATGTGTTATGTGCTGAATAAAGTAGCATGGACAAGAGCTATAGATTTCTTTTCCATACCTGTCACTTCTATTTTCTAGATTTAACTTCATGAGTTGAAAAGATGAATTAATATCTCTTTGTTTTTTATTAGATTTTGAAGACCCACCATTTTTTTTTCCTCTGTCTTCACTTACCAAACACACATACCTTTGACAGTACTGTGTTTAAACATAATTTAAACACCAATTAAACATAAATTGATAGCATTGTGATAGGGATTTGGCTGTTCTGACTCATAGGAGAAGAGGTAAACTTTTAAAGTCTTCATGGCTTTATTAACCACTTTGTTGAAAAATCTTGGAAAACTATGTTGATTTACTTCCCTTCTTTAGTTAGTACATTATATATTCAATTACCTTATTTGGGACATCATTGTGAGCGTTAGTTTTCTGTAAATATAGAAGAAACTAGAGTGAATCTACAAAATCACAAGGCATATCTTAAAATATCTGAATGACTGAACTTTCAAAAAAAAAAAAAAAAGGACCTCTTACCAGACATTTATTTGTCATTTTTCTGCTTAAGGCTCTTTGAATATTAATTAAGGTTAGTATTTAGGTACACACTATTAATTATTTAAGTTCACATTGCCATGCCTGCAGGTAGGAACTGGGGAATGGAAAGGTGTCAGACAGGAGAGAAGCACAGAGAAAGCCCTGCATCGAACGTGACTTTCCTGATCAAGAAGGAACAAGGAAAATGAGACTCTTCAGGTGGTGGCTGTGCCTAGCTCATACTTCCTGTCCACGAGTGAATTTTCCCGCAGTTGCTCAGTCACTGCCACATATCTGGGAGACAGCTTCCTCTGCTGCCACTGGCTGGTGGACCCTCTTCCTTAGAGAGCAGGATGGCCACAGCAGGGAACATTGACATGCTGACAGGTGCTTTGGGGATCCTCTTTTTTGAAAGATTTTATTTATTGATTTTTAGAGAGAGGAAAGAGAGAGAAGGAGAGGGAGAGAAACACCAACATGAGAGAGAAACATCCATGAGCTACCTCCTGTACACAACCTAGGCATGTTTCCTGACTGGGAATCAAACCTGTGACCTTTCACTTTGCAGCATGATGCCCTACCCAGTGAACCACCTTGGGAACCCTCTTGACTTACTGACATCCCTTCAGGATGTTTCTTAGCTGTCTCTCCTGCTTCCAGTGGCTCATTCCTCTGGCATTGCTCCACCTCCTTTGCACCACCTAAGAATGCAGAGTTCTAGAGCCCGAGCACTGTGTGAAATATTCTGCTTCCCTCATGTTTCCTTTAAGTGACATAGCTTTATCAGATGCTCGGACACACAGGTTACACAGTTAATGGCAGAGCTGGGACTCGTACCCAGGTGTGTCCAAGTTCTGGGCCCTCCCCACAAGCACTTGGTTCTGTTGTTTCCAGGATGCTCCCAGGACCACCCAGCTCGTGTCTGAGCATTCTCAGGGGAGGGCTGAGGAAGAGAGTGGAAACCACCCAACCTCTTTGTAGCTTCCCAGTGACAGGGTTCTGTGCATCTGAGTACAGTAGTGAAAATGGACCAAATAAGGCAAACTTCAAACATCTGGAAAGATATGCACTTGAATGGTAATGCTGTTGGTCTCTAGGTGGCTGCATTCCAGTTGATTTTTTTCTTTTTACTTTTTAAAAAATTTATTAAATCTACTGGCAAAAAGTTTTATTTTATTCTTTTATTATTCTATTACAGTTGTCCCAATTTTCCCCCTCTGCCCTCCTGTGCCCAGCCCATCACCTGGTCCCACAGTCAGTCCCCACCCTGTTGTCCGTGTTCATGGGTCATTCATACATGCTTGTTCACTAGTCCCTTCCCCTTCTTTCCACCATTATCCCTCCCTTCTCCCCTATAGCCACTGTCAGTCTATTCCCTGTTTCCATGTCTCTGGTTATACTTTACTTGCTTGTTTGTTTTGTTTATTAGGTTCCAGTTAAAGGTGAGATCATGTGGTATTTGCCTTTCACCACCTGGCTTATTTCACTTAGCATAATACTCTCCAGTTCCATCCATGCTGTTGTGAAGGGTAGGAGCTCCTTCTTTCTTTCTGCTGTGTAGTATTCCATTGTGTAAATGTACCACAGTTTTTTGATCCATTCACCTACTGATGGGCACTTAAGCTGTTTCCAGCTTATTGTTTGGCTATTGTAAATTGTGCTGCTATGAACATAGAGGTGCATAAGTTCTTTTGCATTGGTGTTTCAGGGTTCTTAGGTCTTTTTACTTTCTGAATCTTCTAAACACACATGCATTCCCTGTATAGTAGTAGTGGTAGTAGTAGTAGTAGTAGTAGTAACAGTAGTAGTAGTAAGTCTTTAAAGCTTAAAAAAAAGCTTTCTATACCAGATATGCATTTTTTATTGTTAAATTTATGCTTTTTAATCTGGATTTTCTAAAACCAATTTATACTCTGCTCTATATCTTAGTATGCAAAATTAAAAATATCTAGGGATTAGCAGAGACAAGAATACTTACTCTAAAATCTGTGGGTCTTAGCTAAAAGAACTCTCAGGGGAAATATAAGTTTAAATACTTGTTTTGGCAAGAAAACTTAGAATACGTAAACTAATTATGCACGTAAGAACCTGAAAAAGAACAGCAAAATAAGCCAGGAAAAATAAATAAAGACCCCTCTCTCCCAAAAAAGCCACCAACAGTCATGTTAATGTTCACCATTGCTGCTACGACAAATTACCAGACTTCATGGCTTAAAACAACACCACTTTATTCCCTCACAGTTTCTGTATGTCAGAAGTCCAGGTCAGCTTGGCTGGTTTCTCTACTCTGGATCTCACAAGGCCAAAATCAAGGTGTTAGCTGGCCTGGGCTATTACGGGTAGACTTTGGGATACAATCAGCTTGCAAGCTGATTTAGGTTATTGGGAGAATCCGGCTCCTTGTGGTTGTAGGACTGTGGTACCTAGTTTCTTGAGGAGTGTCCTCAGCTCTGTAGTCCTCTCTGAGTTTGCCTCCACCTCGGAGCCAGCAAGAGGGCACTGAACCTGTTTCACTGTCTTGGAGCCTCTTTGACTTCTTCCTTCTCATCTCCTTTCCCTTCAGCTTTTAAAAAGGCTCATGTTATTAGACTGGGCTGCTCAGATAATCCAGGGTTATCTTCCAATCATAAAAATTTCTAACTTAATTACATCTGCAAAGTGTCTTTTGCCAGTAACGTAACATACTCACAGCTTCTCAAGATTATGGCATGGACATCTTTTGGGAGGGGGGGTCTTGATTCAGCCTATCACAGCTGTATATAAAAGGGGTCTGTGCATAAGAGGGAGGGGTCTTTATTTATTGTTCCTGGTTTATTTTGCTATTCTTTTTTAGGCTCTTAAGTGAATAATTAGTTTACGTATTCTAAGTTTTCTTGCCAAAAAAAGTATTTAAGTTTATATTCCCCTGAGAACCCTTTTAGCTTAGACCCATAGATTTTAGAGTAAGTATCTTGTTTCTGCTAATCCCTAGATATTTTTTATTTTATGTACTAAGATACAGAATGAAGTATAAAATTATAAACAAAATTATAAGTAAAATTAAAAGCTGGTCCTTTTAAAAACTGAGATAAAGTAGGTAAACCATGGTAAACTTGATTTTTAAAAAAAATAACAAAATATGAAGCATTCAGAATGAGAAGGAATACAATCATACTTTATAAGTAATACTTTATATAAGTATTACTTTTGTAATACTTAAGTAATATAAGTATTACTTTAAAGTCAGGATAGGTGATTAAATTTTAATATATTGTTATATACTTTAAAATCTTAAAGAAAGAAAAGGATGCCTTCCTTGCCAGACATAAACTATCAAATTTGACCCAAGAAGAATTAGAAACTTAAACAGACTGATAACATTAGAAAAATTTGGTAAGGTCAATAGAAATATATCACTAGAAAAAAGACATCAGGTCCAGGTTGTTTTACACCTTCAACCTTCAAGGAGCAAACTTGAAACTACCCCAGTGCCCTGGGGGGAAATCAACTCCTCCTAGACGTGGCCCCGCTGTGCACGGACCACTTTCACACCTCGTGTGGCGGCTCTGAGGGTGAACACCTTTACCAGTGTCCGTCCGCAGCCATCAGCTTAAACTATGAACTACTGCAG